AACAATGAGAGAAGAGTTCTATATATACCCGATGGTTGGGGATAATTAAATAATTAATTAATTATTGGTATGACACTAATCATGCGAACCACATACAAAAATACAACATGGCTTAGCTTTTCAATGGCGGTTTTAAAAATAATTGCTGTCTTTTTTTTTTTTTTTTTAACTTGACGTGTTTGAGTTTTTGAAGTTTTCTTGAAGAATCATCTACACGAAGGAGCACCAAACGGATCCACAGATCTCTGCCACGTGTTTATTCTTAACGAGGTTATTCTGAGATTCGTTAATATTGACACGTGTTGTGTTTATATTTGTTAATAGATATGATTTGACTGTGTGTAATTTGCTTTTTGGTTAACCGCGTTACAATGTCAGCTTAATATTAACACGATTTTTGACTTATATGTTTCATGGACATGACGCGTTACAAGTAAATAATTAACATTATACGAAAAATGGGTCATTATTATAGTTCAGATTCATAGTATGTCTTATCAAATTTGTCAACTGTTAATTATTTTAAATGTATATTATAATCGTTTCCGTTGAATTTTTTTTATTATATATATTCGTTTATCTGGACTGATTATACGAGTAAGGGCTGGCAAAGGCTGTCATATTTTCATGTTAATTTAGTTGATAAATAAAAAATAATTACTAGATCATTTAAGTTATATATTAGTATGTTTTTATTTAATTTTGTTGCAATATTCTAGTGACAGATTACTTGGTGGCCATTATTGTTACAAACTTACAACGAAACAGTCAAGCAAACGCGCATTCTCATATTCTACAGCTATCATTGTTACGGTGTGAACTGCTTAGTTATCATTTCAATAAGAACCTACCTAACAATTATTTATATCCTTGAATAATAAATTGTTAGACTCTTGCTTTGACCTTAATATGCATTGTATCTTCTTCAATAAAATTATCATTTGAAACTTTTTTTTCCTGCCAGCTTTGACCAAATTAATATATTAAAAACTTACCAAAAAGAAATTTTAATTAAATTGATTTGTAGAAGAAGTTTGGACGAGGCCTACCAAGGCCTCTCTTTCTAGCTTTTCGTGGATGTGGCCTGACCTCGTAACTTTTCTTATTTTTTCAAGCCCAAAGTAGCTTTGCTTTATTTTCACTTGCATACAAAGTTATTAGTTTTAAGTTTTAACATATGAAAATTCCAAGATAGAGGGGGAGTTATTCATTGTTTTAAGTTATTCATGTAATCTAGAAACATGTTGAACCTCTAAAGAATACCCTATGTTTAAAAAATTCACATGTAAGTATGAAAATTTGGTTCTGTTGGCTATAAAAAATGACCAAGTGATACATGACAATGTAGTGTGAAAAAAAAAAGATCTCGTCTCTGTGTAGATTTAATGTTTTTAACCGCTCATCAAATCTCTGTAAGTAGTTTGGTGAAGAACGTATGAAGTCTATACCGCTCGTATTACTCCTCAGACCCAATATATTGCATACATTGAACCTCTTTTTTAATTAAAAACATCAAATGTTCCATATCTTTGATTAAAAATTTATTTGCCCAAAGAAGAAACTAATCTGACACTAGTTACATAGAAAAACATAGACCCTTGTGCTCATGTCCCTATTGATCTCAAATCTTAATCCATACCTCTTAATTGTCTAACAAAAAAAAAATCAAACGTACCATAATTATCATCATATGTAATGTAGGAAACAAATACGTATTTACCGGTATATATAGTAAATACGATCAAAAAATCAAACATATCACAATATATATAATTTTATTTTTTACCAAAGAAAAAAAAAGGAAAGGCAACGATTACGATTCGATCCTTGCAGAATTCAAACTCAAACAAGCCGTTTATCTCACGCGCCGCCGTACGCGCCACGATCCGTCCTTGGAGATCAATTGATGGAGCCGCCGAAGGGAGATACCGAAGTGAAGACTGATGTTCCGGTCAAGGATCCATCGCTGAGCGTCGTCGAGGATGCGAGCACCGAGATATCTTTGTCCGATGAGGTTTTATCGAAGGGGAGCGATACAACGCCGGTGAAAGCTCCGAGTCGAACATCGTCTGGATCGAAGAAATCCGTTCACTGGAGCCCCGAATTGGTGTCTGGGTCTCAGGAACCGGATCAGAAAGCTGCATCATCGTCTTCTTCGGCTGGATCTAATCCGTATATTGCTCGTTCTCCGGCTGAGACGTCGTCAGATGCGTCGTTGAAAGGTAAGAGTGTAAATGGTGTAGTGAATTGTGATTCGTACCGGTGAGATTGTGTATTGCTTGGAATTACCTTTTTGTGATGTCTCTCTCTCTCTCTCTCTCTCTCTCTGTGAATTGGATTAGATACGATGGAGTCTGTGAAAGGAGTGCTTGGTAGATGGGGAAAGAAGGTTGCAGAAGCAGCAAAGAAGACGGAGAGCCTTGCCGGCAACACATGGCAACACCGTAAGTTTTCGATTTTTATATCATTTTGGAATCAAATTCAATGCTTAGAGTTCAGGGGAATCAAGAATTGTTCATAGAGTCTTGTTAAAAGGAGCTTGTTCTACTCATTTTCCTTTGTTGTATGTTGGTGTTTAGTTTGCTACTGGTTTTAGGACTGAGTAAATATCATCATATTCGTTAGTGCTCAAGTTTATCTTTATGATTTCTCAGTTCTTGATCGCTTTTCAACATGTTGTTGCTATAAAATGGGACGTTCTTACTGGCTTGTTTTGATAAATTTCATAATTACAAACGGAACACTCCCCTGAATGTCAGTCTTTAGTCAGTACATTAAAAGACAATGACCTTTGATCTTTTTGATTTCTTGCTTAGAATAGTTAAGGGACTATGTTAGCTGTGGAATCATATTGTGTTGTAAGAAATATCTAAATTTTTCTTGGGTTTATCTTCATAAACAGTTTAGAATCACAATTGTTGTACATGGATCATTCCTCTTCGATTTTTCTCCAGACCAAGATTAATAGCACATTTGCTCAGTTTTAGAGGATGATCTTTTGATATTGTCAAGTTTGTGATCATAGTAATTAACAAATCTGGCTTGGATTTGAAAAAGAAGATTCTCCAAGTTTGAGTCTGTCAAACTTTGTACCTTGACCCATGAGGCCATGAAAAGTGTTTATAAGAGAGTCTGAATAACCACTCGTGATGTAGTCTAACTAGTAGGGAATTAGCTCCTAGTTTTGAAATCAAAAAGCCTTTTGGCGGACTGACGAATTACCACTCTAATCAAGAGATGTTCTTGGTGGTTTGTTGAATGTTTGAGCAATGGAGGTTGAGGGAAAATGTAAAAATGTCTGAGAACTAGCTAAACATATTGAAATTGGGGGATTAAGAAAGTTTACAAAATTAAATTTATGTTAGAGTGTTTTTGTGTGAACTCTATAACCCTTATATTTGACATTCAAGCTATCTGATTGATGTCTTTTATAATCTTCTCTTTCAATCAGTGAGAACTGCTCCGAGTTTTGCGGATGCTGCTATGGGAAGAATTGCACAGAGTACTAAGGTCTTTGCAGAAGGAGGATATGAGAAGATATTTCGACAAACCTTTGAGACAGTTCCTGAAGAACAACTGCTAAATTCTTTTGCATGTTACTTGTCAACATCAGCTGGCCCAGTTATGGGAGTTGTATATATATCAACTGCCAAACTTGCTTACTGTAGTGACAATCCTCTCTCCTATAAAAATGGTGATCAAACCGAATGGAGCTATTACAAGGTAATGTGTCCTACATCTTTGCATTTCAGAATTATAACCATTTCGAAGACACCATATTATTACTTCAGTGACCATAACTGTTCGAAATCTGTTGGCTGGTTATCTGGTCAATGCTTAAGACAATGTTTCGTTATAGTTTGTTAGTAGCATCAACTAAGGAGCTGCCGTAGAGTGATTCATTAGGATTGAAAATTACTCTTAAGTTGTTACCGGAATCATAAATCCATGGACTTTTTGTGAGAGTCAATAATACAATAGCATCAGCTTCTCATCTCTTGTTTCCTCGAAACCATCCGATACGATTGCATTAGCTTAAACTGTTTATTCATTGCAATAAGATTACTGCTACATTGATCATTAATGAACACTGTGTGTCTTCTTCTGAAATAGGTAGTAATCCCATTACATCAACTTAAAGCAGTGAACCCATCAACAAGCATAGTCAATCCTGCAGAGAAGTACATACAGGTGATTTCGGTAGACAATCATGAGTTCTGGTTCATGGGTTTCTTAAACTACGAAGGCGCCGTCACATCTCTGCAAGATTCTTTGCAAGCTGGTGCTTTACGGTCGGTGTGATACATACTGGATGAATGATGACCATAAAAGCCTGCTGGTCTGCAACTTTTATTGCTTAGTCATATCAGAAGACTCAGATTTACATTATTCTGCGTGAAATATAATCTCCAAATCTTAATTTGCTACAGAAACTGTCTAAATTTAATTTAAAATGTTTTATCTTTTAATATGTTTACGAGAGGACAGCTTAATTGTAATTCATCATTCAGTAGCAGTTCCTTTTAGTTTCTCTGTTGAAGAATTCAAGAATCTAATATAAGCAGTTTTTAGCAAAGTTGTGGGGCAGTTTCATAAATACCGAAAATTTTGGGGTAATTTCGTAAATACTTAAAGTTTAGGGGCAATTGCATCAATATCGAAAGTTGAGTGGCAATTCCGTAAATATCAAAAGTTGTGGGGCAATTTCGTAAATACCCTAAAGTTGTGGGGCAATTTCGTTAATATCGAAAGTTTTGGGGCACTTTCGTAAATACCTGAAGTTGTGAGGTAAATTCCTAAATATTGAAAGTTTCGGGACAATTTCGTAAATATCGAAAGTTGTGGGTAATTTCGTAAATATGGAAAGTTGTGGGGCAATTTCGTAAATATCAAAGTTCATTTTCTTTTCGTCGAATCAGATTGAACTTGGATAAGGCATCTGATTAGGGTTTTTTCCCAAGATCACTAATTAAAAATTCAAAATTAATTCACAGAAGAAATTCGAATAAGATTAACCACTAATTTTGATGAAGAAGATTTTACAGGCATGACAAAAATTACAGACAAAATGAAGTTAGACTTGTTTCGTACTTGTTCGTTTCTAAAGAGCCAAGTACTGTATAGAGAGCGAGAGATCTAAACAACTTGTCTCTCTTCTCTCACTCACTTGTTGTGTGTTTTTTTTTTTTTTGTAAATTTTTCAAAAACTCCCTCCAAAAAAGAAAAAAACTCAATTGACTGAGAAAACTAAGCAAAAGATCAGATCGGAATCTTAGCCATGGATGCTCTTTCTCAGGCGATCACTTCCGGGATCTCCATTCCTTACAAGAAGAAGAATTCTATTCTCGTTCCTTGTCATGGACTCACATCTAAAAGAGAAATATGAAATGTTTGATTAGTTCTTGCAAGTTATAGATTACTTAAACACGTCAGAAATTTCCAGAAAAACATTGGATCAGTGTGTGTTTATCTACCTGACCCTTCTTTCAGGGAGACTGAATGGTTTTCTTAAATTGTGTTATTTTTCCTCTTAAGAATCCTTTACCCTGGTACAAAACCATTATGCTAGCAGTATACTATATACACAAGACCATAAAAAAAAAAACTACAAAAAGGGATCAAGACAGTTTATCTACCTGATCCTTCCTTCTTCCGAGGCAATTGAATTACTTTCCTAAGTTAAGTTATTTTCAGCTTAAGAGTCCTCCATCTTGATACAAAATAGCAGTTACTAAATACATAAGACTATAAATGAAACCACTAAATTAATGCTAATGAAGAAACTTACTCGAAATCTTACTAAGTATGATCAAAGCCGGGATTCGACTGCGTTGCTCCTGTTAATCTTGGCAAGGAAACAATGTCTACAGCTGAAATATTGAACATTTTGATAATTGTGAATGAAGCAAAAGTAGATGAGAAGAAATGGAGAAACTTCACCTTAAAACTCTTAGTGTTTTTCTTGGATTTTGAATCATCACCTTAAAACTCTTAGTATCCCTTCACAAGAAATCACAGTACGAAACATATCTAAGTAAATATATTGATTACCCCTTTACTTTTGTATGCAGGACACTGTTTTCGCTTGTACTCGCTTGAATCTCACTTTTAGAGCAGCATAAAAAGTAATTAGATTCAATGTGACCAACAAAATGATTCATAGTAGTAAAAGACTAAGAAAAGAAAGAAAAATGGGAAGAGAGAGATACTTCACCTGAAATTGACTTGGCAACATAATCTCAGAGTTCTTAACAATAAAAAAAAAAGAAAGATATTAATCGTAAGTTATTTATTGTCTTCTTTCTTTCTTGTGTCTAGTTTTGTGGTGTGCTGTATTTTATTTCTTGTGTTTGAGAGTGTTTAAAGTTTTGTTGCGTGTGATGTGATTTTTTTTGTAGTGTTTTGAGTTTTGTTGCGTGTGATGTGATTTTTTTTGTAGTGTTTTGAGTTTTGTTGTATTTCGGTGTGTTTTGAGTTTGAGTGCATTGTATTTGTGTGTTTTTCGTGTCTGTGAACGCGTGTATTTTCAGATAGTGTGAGTAATCAAAACAAGCTAATCAAATGAAAATAACCTGGTGAGATGACCCAGAGAACCTATGCATGACAAATTAGATATGAGAATAGAGGGAGAGATATCTGACCTCTCATGCTCCTGGCGACAAAATCACCTTACGAAATTTTGTTCTCTGGACCTCCAAGATATCTGCATGAAGCAGGAAACACGACCCGTCATTTGCTCTTGCCTACTGAACCAAAATTTTACCTGAATGTACAATAAACAAACAATAAAAAAAACAACAACTTGGTAAGAGTCTTACAGAGCCAAAATCTAACTGCTTGCAAAAAATTTCTACTTTTAATCTTGATGGATCATGCTGTATAACGAAGAACCCCCAACTGAAAATAATCTCACTTGAAACGCATTAAGATGTCGAAAAGAGAATCCAACCATCATCTTGGCAGAAATATGATTTAACAGTGTTTCAAAACCTGATCAAAACGAAATGACAAGATCAAGATGTAAACAAAAGTTTGGAAGCAAGAAACTAAATAAATGCAATTAGAAATTTATAACAATGGATTCACTTACAATAAAATCAAGCTTAGCCTTACATATTGTTGGGGTCGGATTCCACCCGCGTTAAGTCCGAGCTATGACAACGCCTCGGGACCTATCACCAAATCAGCTCGGGGAACTCTGACCAAACATCTCAGAATCCCGCACGGATCGGTTCGGATATCCTCACTGCCGGCTCGGGACTGCCAACCAACTTGGGTACCCGAGCCCGTCAATCCAATACCCGAGCCCGACTCGGACAACCGAACCCGTTCACGATTCAGTCAACCGAGCCGATTCTTTTCGACGTCCGAACGACCGAACCCATCCACGGTTCGGGTTCCTAAGCCCGTTCCTCCTACGAATACCCGAGCCCGGCAAATATTTCGGCTCGGGCATAATGTCACATTGTTTGTCCGAGCCGAACACCAGGAAGTCTCCGAATCACCCGAGGCGAGACCGTAAGACACCCGAGGCGAAATCATCAACCGCCCGAGGCAAAGACTTAGTAAATATTCGTCTTCAAAGTACCATTTCCAAGCAAGGCATCATTTCCGAAAAAAAAGGATCATTTCCGATAGACCTGGAAATGATAGGGAAGAATCTCGAAGGATCAACTCAAATCGGGAAATCTTCCAAGAAACTCCGAAGAATAAGGAAATTATCCCAAAATCTGCGATATTCTAAGCCGACTTCAAGATAAATGAAAATCTTCCGAGAATATCGCTGGAGAGGGGGTGGTAAGAGACTCAAGGCTCTCGCAGAAGGGGAGGCAATATCACTCTAGAATTTACATTATGCAAAGCTCTCACAGCACAAACATCTTTTTCTCTTACGATCAAACTCTAGTACGATCAAACTATTCTTTTCATCAATAAAATCAAGAACACCATCTTTGGTTACGATTGTTTTCTGTTGTTCTTTGAGAATTCTCGCAAATTGTATCCCTAAATAAAAACCATAGACAAATCTCGATTGTGTTAGTTTCGACTTCCACACATATTTTGTCACTGTAGACTTTGTAAATGGCTTCTTGTTACTAATGGCACTAAGAATTAACACGTTAGAGACCAGTAAAACAATATGAAACTATGTAAGAAAACATCATAGAGTAAAAGATGAATGTAGCTAATCTGAAATAATATACATGACAACAAGAGAATGTCATGTTTTGTATGAAGAGATGAAGAATTTAGTCACCTTATGACTGAAGAATATATTTGGTCGTCTCATATGCAAAAGAATCTAAAACAACTAAGATACAATCCCTGACTTCGTTAGTACTGTACCTTGGAAATCGAGATCTAGTAGAGAACTATGATATGCTTTTTTAGTTCCTGCAAGCTATAGATCACTTAAACACGTCAGACATTTGCAGAAAAACATTGTATCAATGTGTTTATCTACCTGACCCTTCTTCTTTCGGGGAGACTGAATGGCTTTCTTAAATTTGGTTCTTTTGCGCTTAAAAATCTTCCATCTTGGTACAAAACCATTATGTTAGCAGTATACACAAGACCATAAAAAAACTACAAAAACTCAGAGAAGAGATGAAGATAGTTTATCTACTTGATCCTTTCTTTTTCCGAGGCAACTGAATCACTCTCCTAAGTTTAGTTATTTCCAGCTTAAGAATCCTCCATCTTGATACAAAACCATTCTAATAGCAGTTACTAAGTACATAAGACTGTAAAATTAAACAACAAAAATAATGCTTATGAAGAAACTTACTGGAAATGGTCTTTTGAAGTCTGATCCAAGTCGGGATTCGACTGCTTTGCTAGCACCTGTTGTTTCTGTTAATCTTGACAAGGAAACAATGTCCACAGCTAAAATATTGAACATGTTTATTAATTATGATAAAAATCAGTTTTTGCGATTGGTTTTTATTAGTGAAGTATGTATTGATAAGAAATTTGTATAAAGCAATGTAAATGATAAAAAGAAGAGAGCTATTTCACCTGAAAAGTCACGGATCTTCCCTTCACATGGAAGCATGGAAGAAACATATCTGATATCTAAATAAATTTCGTATGCAGGACACCGCTTTTGTTTGTAGTGGCTTTGAATTTCTCTTTTGGAATATCATCAAAGTACGAAACTGCTAACAAAACATACTAAACTTCAATGTGACCAATAAAAATAATTAATAGTTGTTAGAGACCAAGAAAAGAAAGAAAATGAGAAGAGAAAGATACTTCACCTGAAATTGACTTGGCAACAGAATCTCAAAATTCTTACCAATAAAAAATATATTAACCGTGAAGTTAATGTTTTTCTTTCTTTCTTGTGTCTAGTTTTGTGCTGTGCTATATTTTATTTCTTGTATTATGTTGTGTTTGGGCTTAGTTGCGTTTGGAGTGTGTTTAGAGTTTTGTTGCGTGTGATGTGAATTTTGTTTCTGTGTCGTGTTTGAGTTTTGTTTTTTCTGGGTGTGTTCTGAGTTTGAGTGCATTTGTGTTTTTTGTGTGTCTGTGAACGTGCGTGTTTCTAAATAGTGTGACTAACCCAAACAAACCAAGACAACTCGGCTAATCAACTAAAAATAACCTGTTGAGATGATCCAGAGAAACTATGCATGACACAATAGACATGAGAATAGAGAGAGAGAGAGAGAGAGATATCTGACCTCTCATATGCTCTTGGCTACAAAATCAGACCTCAAAATTATCTGCATGAGGCAGGAGAAACGACCCCTCATTTCTTCTCCAAATTGAGATATGAATTGCCACTTGGTTGCCTGAATCATATGACCACAAGACTGATTAGATTTCGGAAATGTATATATCTGAGATAATCAATGTATGTGTTCACATAGATTTAAATTAACCATTTTTTTCAAATTAATCTTCACAAAATCACAGATAAAGACGGTGATGGACTCATATTGATTAGTCCCAAAACGATACAGTCAAAAACATGGACATGAGGGAAATTCTCCAAATCGTTAGTTTTTTAACCATTTAAACTCATCAATTTCAACAAATAAGAGAGAAATTTCGATGTAGACTCTGTTCAACTATTTCAGAACATTAAAACTCTCCGATCACCAACCATTGAACAAGTACGCGATTACCTCAATAAAAAAAGATCTCAAAACCATCAAACAACTAAATTCGAACAGAAATCAAAGAAAGCAAATTCCAAATCCAAAACCCTAGATTCCCAAATTAACTAAGAAGAGAGAGAGAGAGATCGAAAAACATTGCGTACCTTCTTCGATTTGGTAGGACTATCACACGATCCGAATTCAAACCAATAGAAAAGTTTTAATCCTTGTATCAATCAGTCAGATTCTCATCGATCCAAAATCAAAACCCTAGGTTCTCGATTTGAATTGACCCAACGAATCAGAGACGCCATTGACGACGTAATTCAATTGATCGGAGAAAAGAATCAGAAGAAGATAGAAAAACAATAATCGCTTCTCCATAAAACCCTAACTCGTTTTTTCTTCAAAGAGGATTTGAAGAATTGAATTTTGAAATTTCAACTCTCACTGACCGTTTATTTGTGGGAGGAGAAAAGTTACCGTTGCGAAATAGAGAGCAGAGAGGCCCACAGCTATTTATGTGATTTTTTCGAAACAAATCAGCATCTGAATTTACGATTATGACCCTGAGTTTTCAAAATTTGGATAAATCGGTTCGATTTCTTTAATTTGAATATACCGATAGTTAAGTTCCAAAATCATATTCATTGCAGAAACTAAATTATCAGTTGTACAACCCAAAATCATCTTCATTCTTATTCACTAGTGGATGTAAAACACAAATTATCAATTATGTAACCATTGAGATTCCGATAGAATGGAACATGGAACAAGACTACAAACAAAGTATGAACCCATTGAGATTCCGATCAAATAGAAGATGGAATCTGCAACTCATCCGCTAGTTCTTGAACATGGGTAGCTTCGCTCAGCATTTCAGATTTGGGTTGCTCATATAGCACAAAGTATATCCAGATTTCTTCAACAAGCTCCTGAGATATAACTAAATCAAACCACAATAGTCTTCAACCCAATTATATGCACGTTGAAGAAAACCCATTGAAAAACTCATGGACCTTCATTGCTATATATATATGTTTTAATTAGCAAATGATGTGTCTCTCTCGTTATGAGACTTAGCTTAGCCATGTTCTTTTACTCGTCGTAGTGACGGAGCAAAAACGACAGTGGCAGCGCTGTGAGGGTCTCGCTGAGTAGAAGACGTTGCACATAAGTGGTGTTTCTAAGAGAAGAAGGTTGTCGCTGAAATTTGTAGTGATAGCTACAGAAGTTATTGCGACTCCAAAATCAACAATGCCTTCATGATGATGCCAAAACTGTTCATAAACAAAAGCTACTACGACTCCAAAATAAAAAAAAAAGTTGCTACGGAAGTTGCTACGCAGGTGTTGCTATTATAATCAAATTAAAGAAAACTATTAAATCTAAAACGACATTATATCATGAAACAAGCTGCAAAGATGGGCTTTTTTTTTACCTTTAGCCCCGAAGTTCTCGTTTTCTTCTTTTAATCTTGAAACCTTGATCTCTAATTCATGAGTATAAGCCTGCAAGTTTCAATGTTATTATTAGATCAACTAACAAACAAACAGAACATTAGCTAACTAAAACACAATGTCAACTTCTGAACATGTTTTCTAGCTCGTGAACGTGATGCAATTGTTTTTTTTTGGTAAAAACATGATGCAGATTCTCTGTTCTTAATAATCCTTTTTTGTTTCCTCTCAACAGGCTTCTTCACAATCTCTCCAGCTACTCACCAAGTAATGATCCACATAATTAAAATCAACTCTCAAGTCCAAATCCAAAACAATTAGCATCAAGTAAAGAACAATTCAAGAATTATGAAGGTTCTAATACCAAGCTAATGCTACTTATCCACCAAGTTCACGTAACAATGGCCACGAAATCAAAAACCTAAAAGGAAAAGACACGACTGTGGTAATTTGTTTTCTCAACAACGACTCTGTTAATTAAATTGATCCTATTGTTAATGATTTTTTTTTTTAATTGATTTTATTTGTTTGTTTATTTTTTTAATATCTAATTAAGTGTTATATGACATGACAATTTGATTGGCTAAAACTAAAAGAGGTGAATACATAGGTTCACCCCTAGGAGTGAACCCAAGAATTGTTCTTTAAGTTCGGCTAACCGAGATTTAATTGAAGAACAAAAAAACATTAACCTAATATAGTCTTAGCCGCCAGATTATTCTCTCCCCCTTCCTCATCTTCTTCGATTACTCTTCAACTTCTTCTTCTTCTTCGATGCATCATCATCTTATTCTTCTTCGATTCATGACTATCACCTTCTTCTTCTTCTTCGATTCATAACTATCAATCCATCATCTTGTTCATCTTCTATTCATCATCCTTCATCATCATCATCATCATCTTCTTCTTCTTCATCTTCTTCTTCACTCTCTCATGATCCATGGAGAAACATTAGTGAGACTAATAGGATCAGGACCTCCATACATTCCTTGAAGGGTTCTGTTTTCCGTCATTGTCGTCTTCTTGAGCCTTTCTGTTTTAATCAAGGCTCGAGGGAGTTATTATCGAAAATTGCGGGGCAAATGCGTAAGTACCTAACTTTGCGGGGCAGATCATGAATACTGAAGTTGTGTGGCAATTTTGTAAATATGGGGCAAGTTCGTAAATATAAAAAGTTAAGAATAATTTCGTAAATATTAAAATATGTGGGGCAAATTTGTCAATACTAAACGCTGTGAGGCAATTTCGTAATACCCAGAAAATATTGGCTAAAATAATTACGACAGACTACTATTGTTAGAGGGTGATTGGCACAAGGCTTTGAAGACTTTAAGACATATTTAAAGTCTTTCCAGTTTTGTTTTTGCCAATTAGGTTTTCTTTACTTTAAGTTTTCTTAAAGTCCCAAAGCCTTTTTTTTTTTTTCTTCTTTTTTTCCCTTTAAAGGGAAAATTGAAAATTAAGGATAAATAATTAAACTATTGTCCATCTACGCATTCTATGACCAAATATCACATATTTCAAATTTACCCTTTGTAATTGATTTAACCAATCTTTCAAATAAAATTCATAACAATTCGTAGGTAAATGATGAAGAAGTTATGAGGATACTTATAACATCGAAAATATGTCGTTTTAATGCCGTTTTGGATGAGTAAAATATGATCTACGAAGTTTAGAACACACCTTCTGAATTTAAAATGTGTATTCTATATATTGTATATGTTCTATAAAATTTAGATAATGTATTCTACGCTCTTTACATGTTCTACAAAATTTAGAACGCATTTCTGTTTTACCTTATTTAGAATGCTAATTTCTACGGTAGTTAGAATACATATTCTATACTTTGCTCTTTCTCTTAGAAAAATTAGAATATATTTTCTAACATTTACTCATGTTCTAAAATAGTTAGAAAACATATTCTTATTTTTTCCTATATATTCTACAAAAAATAGAAAACAAATTCTATGTAAAATAGCGGGCTTTGCGGATAAGCCCAGGCGGATTGCGGGCTTTGTCCAAGTAGCCCACGGCGGGGTGGACTTGGACATCATTTTTTTATGTCCATATAATAGCGGGCCTCGCGGACAAGCCCAGGCGGATTGTGGGTTTTTTCGGATTTTATCTGCGGATTTGCGGGTCGGCCCGTAGGCTACAAATATTTAATAAAAATAAATAATTAATATAAATAAATAAATATTTTTACATAATTCTGAAAATATATATGTAAAATATATAAACATATAACAAAATTTAATGTATAAAATTGTAAGATTTTAAAAATTATTAATTTCAAATTTTAAAAATTAATTTTATTTTTTTAATTACTTTAAAAATATTAAAACTAAGCCCGCGGGCCGGCCTGCTAACCCGTTGGGCTTAGCGGGACTGGCCTAAACATATTATTTTTGCCAACGGTCCTAGCGGGCTGACCCGTTGCGGTCTCATAAACTTAAATGCCCATTGCGGGCCGGCCCGTCTGACACCTCTAAGTCAACAAACACCAGAGTTGGGAAAAATAGCATGACTGTGAATTGTGATGTTATCAAAGTCAAAATACACAACTCCTTTGACTTCCGCAAACCATGAGATTGAAAAGTTCATTTTCTTTTCGTCGAATCAGATTCGACTTCGAATACTAAGGCATCTGATTAGGGTTTATTCCCAAGATCACTAATTAAAAATTCGAAATTAATTCACAGAAGAAATTCGAATAAGATCACTTGTTTCGTACTTGTTCGTTAATCTAAAGAGCCAAGTACTGTACAGAGAGAGATCTAAAACAACTTGTCTCTTCTGTCACTCACTGTTGTGTTTTTTTTTTTTTTTGTAAAATTGTCAAAAACTCCCTCCAAAAAAAAAACTCAATTGACTGAGAAAACTAAGCAAAAGGATCCGATCGGAATCTTGGCCATGGATGCTCTTTCTCAGGCGATCACTTCCGGGATCTCCTCCGTTCCTTACAAGAAGAACAATTCTTCTCTCGTTCCTTGTCATGGACTCTCCTCCTTAATCCTCCGGAATACGAGATCTCCGGCGAATCCCTCATCACGAATCTCGTCGGCGAGAGCTTCGGCGATTCAACATAGCAAAACCTCAGCTTCATCGATCGATCTCAGCGATCCAGATTGGAAATTAAAGTATGAGAAAGATTTCGAGCAACGATTCAACATCCCTCACATCACTGATGTCTTACCTGATGCAGAAGCTATCCGTTCAACGTTTTGTCTCAAGATGAGGTCAGAGATAACTACTTTGATCTTCACGCTCAGATTCTTCTGGGTTTTGGAAAATCTCTCAAATTTCTAGTTTTGATTATTTAGGTCTCCGACGGAAGATTTTGTTGGTGGTTACCCTTCTGATGAAGAATGGCATGGATACATTAATAACAATGATAGAGTTCTTCTCAAGGTTACTTTCACTTTTTTGAGCTTTTTTTACTGAGCTTGATTTTGGGTTTAATTGGATTTAATTTTTTATTTTGGGTTCTTTGGAAATTAGGTTATTAGATACTCTTCACCTACTTCTGCTGGAGCTGAGTGCATTGATCCTGACTGTTCTTGGATTGAGCAATGGTAAAATTTTGTTAGTTGTTGAGTTTGGATTTGTGTTTTTTTTGGTTTTTGGTTATAAACTTATAATTGTGTAATGGGATCATTAGGATTCACCGTGCTGGTCCGAGGGAGAAGATATATTTCAGACCGGAAGAAGTAAAAGCTGCGATTATCACTTGTGGTGGCCTTTGTCCTGGTCTTAATGATGTCATTAGACATGTGAGTTTTTGTCTGAAACTCAGAGAGTGTGTTTGTGTGTGTGAAATCCTATTTGTATATGTTATTGAATTATTGTTTGGATACATTGCAGATTGTCATCACTCTTGAGATTTATGGTGTTAAGAACATTGTCGGGATTCCTTTTGGTTATCGAGGTTTCTCGGATAAAGATCTAACTGAAATGCCGGTATTGTTCGATTGTCCTCTTTGAGAAAAAGGAACTCTCTTTTCTGTTTAACTTAAATCGTTTGCTCTTGATCATCAGTTATCAAGGAAAGTGGTTCAGAATATTCATCTATCTGGAGGAAGCTTGCTTGGAGTTTCACGTGGAGGCCCGAGTGTAAGCGAAATTGTCGACAGCATGGAGGTATCATTTATTTT